TGGCCGTGGTCTTGGCATTGTAGTACCTGACATTTCGCCAGCAGCTGTGACTGGCATCCTCAGAGGTATAACACAGAAAGATGGGAGTATTCTCTGTATCAATGTGAGAAGAAAAATGGTAGGCAGGTAATTTATATCTACTCAGGGAGGTGGGGTAGGGCTGAGTCATTATCTTGTAGGAGTTTCCCAGGCTGTGACATGCTAATGGAGGAGCTTTCCTGAGGATGTTCTTTTGCATATGGATTGGCAGTTGAAATTCTAATCTTATCTGTAGTGCTGTTGTAAGATGTAGAGCATTTTGTGTTTTTCAGGATAGGAAAACATGCCCTATTTATTTTTAAACTCTCTTCTTTTTTGTTGAAATTGTGTTTATGAATTTCAATGGCTTCCCTGTGTAATCTGACATGGTAATTGGATGTGTTGTCCAGCATTTCAGTTTCTTGGAATGAAATACTGTGTCCTGTTTGAGTTAGGCTATGTTCAGACACTGCTGATTTTTCAGGCTGGCCAAGTCTGCAGTGTCTTTCATGTTCTTTTATTTTTGTCTGGATGCTACACTGTGTGGTATGCTGTGTGCTGCAGTTAAGTTCCACCACAAAGGTCGAGGGAGTGGAGGCGCTGCAGCACTTTTTAATGTAGATTTAAAAGCTGAAATTCAAGTTATCAATAGCATCTGCCCTCACTACATACAGCCATTATTGGAAAAGGGCCAGCAATTATTATTATTATTATTATTATTAAACCCTTGTGTGTCAATGTACATTTGCCCCCCAATCGCAAAAAAATGCAAGACAAGGAGAAAATTTGGGACCAGTTTGTAACCATCCTTGATCACCTATCGGCCCAATACCCCAATTTTAAAATAATGTGGGGATTAATCCTGACACCTGATCCTACCGAAGATCTATCACCTGGTTACAGGAGACGTAGGTAGACTGAACATTTGCATAACACCACTGCACAAGCTCTTGAGGGAACAGAAGGACAGTCGCCAGTCTCTTCTACAGTCAAGAGTCCAATTCAATCCACTACTACGAAGACAGAATTCTTACCCTTAAATCCCTGTTGATTAATTATAGACCACCCAAACAACATACCCACCCCAACAATGTGTGGTTTGATCAGGAATGTAGGGATTTTAAAAAGAAGCTAGCCTAACAAATGAAATACACCTGACACTATAAGGATCAAAACTCAATACAAAAATCTATTTAAAACTAAAAAACAGGCCCACACCAAGCAATTATGGGAAGAACTGGCACAGGCAGCATGGGGGAAAAAATAAACCCGCTTTTGGGAGCTAGTCTCACTTGGGCTTGGAAGATCACCCTCCCAAACAGACGCCCAAATCTCTGGAAACTCTTGGCTCAGCCACTTTTCTGCTATTTATCAATCCCCTACCTCTCAGACTAGGTCCACAGAGACGAAATGGGCCTTCAATTACAATCTGCAAATGCTACCAGATTGGCTAGTGGTAACCGTGGCTGAAAACTTAATTTCTTCCTTAGCCTCAGGTAAATCCCCTGGGGAAGATTCAATTCCCACAGACATGATAAAGGCCTTCCCCAACTGGCGGGCCCCAATCTTTGCTAAACTATTTACCCAAATAAATAACTCTGGCCTATTGCCTGCTGGGTGGAAAACCAGCATAGTGGTCCCTATCCATAAAAGAGCATCAAAACTCGACACAGCATCAAAACTATACAGAAAATATTTACTAAGGAAGTTAGAGGAATGAGCTACAGACAACCTCATTCTACATCCTCACCAAGCAGGCTTTCGCAGAGGCCAAAGCACAACAGACCACTGCCTCACACTTCACCCACTGGCCCATTCGGCCATGAAAAGTCCAGCCAAAGGGAAAGCCCTCTGTGGTATTTGTAGATTTAGCCACAGCCTTTGATTCCATAGACAGAAACCGCTTATGAGGAAAACTTGGGAGGTCAGATAGAGAGAAGGGCCTCTTAGCGTTGATTCTGCATGCAAGCAAAGATCAGAGTGGGCACCTCTGGTTCCCTGACTAGAGAAATCCCTATGGTAAGAGGAGTACAGCCGGGATGCATGTTAGCTCCCTTACTCTTCAATTTATTTATCAATGACATCGTAAAAAGATGGTCTGACTGGAAATTTGTTTCACCCTGACTTAACAGTCAGAAGATTTTTCTACTATTATATGCAGATGACATGGTCCTGATTTCTCTAACCAGAGTGGGTCTGAGGAAGTTGCTGAAGGGCTTGGGGGACTACTGCTTAGAAGAAAATTTGAAAATAAATTACACCAAAATAAAAGTGATCATCTTCTGTAAAAGGCCAAAACATTTTCCATGGTGCATACATGGCACCCCAATTGACCAATGTAAAACCTACAAATATTTGGGCATTGCTTTCCATGAATCCTTGAACTGGAAGGCCCACATAGCTTTAACAAAAACAACAGCTCTTAAGACCATAGGTGCAATAATGGGATTCTTCCATAACAAGGATGGCCACCTCATAGACCCAGCAGTCCAGCTTTACACACTAGCAAGGTCATCCCTCAAATACTCTATGGCGTTGAAGTATGGGGATGGCAAGACCAAGTCCTTAACAGGCTGGAAACAATCCAAAATAATTTTATGAGACGCATCCTGGCGCTCCCAAAGGGGACACCAGCAGCCATGATGCGAGCCGAGCTTGGCTTACCCTCAATAAGGGCCTGTGTACACGTTATAATTCTAAAACTCTGGAAGAAACATCAGCTAGTTGATACAAGTTCCTTTAACAACTCTAGCTTCCATATCCTGCAAATTAACGACCAAGCCCGCCTTAGCACGCTATCCAACATCATTGCTAAATACACAATCCCGGACAATTTATTACTCCCGTCAGCCAACAACTCACACCTGCGGGATTGGGTTTACAATGAAGATACTCTAATTGTCAAATCCTTAATCAGTCAACAGAAATTTGCCCCACAGTATCCAGCATTTAAAACAGACCAGAGCCTCCTATCTGGCTCTTATCTCAACTCACAGCATACAAAGGGCATTTACTGCTCTTCGCTTTCAGACCCTGCCATCTGAGCGGCTAAAAGGACGATATCTCAAAACCCCTTATGACCAACATATCTGTTTGTGCGGGATTTCGGTTGAGGATCTATCACACTACATTTTGGAATGTCCTCTGTATACTGGTCCTAGAATTAAATTGCTTAACCCAATTCTAACAACTTTACAATTAGGCACCGATATAGTAACCTTTTTGCTTTCAGATGTCAATCCCACCATTTCCTGTAGAATGACACTCTATGCCCATGCTGCAAGGAAAATCAGAGATTTTATTTTTGTATTTTTAGAATATGTTATTTAAGAAACCTGATCTTAATACTTCTACTTTGTTTACATATTTTATTCTTTACATTGTACTGCCAATTTCTATACTGTTTTTATGTTTTATATTTTATATTCTGATGGCCAATGGCTATATGCAATAAACTTTTGAGTTGGAGTACTGGGTTACTTGGTACTGGTGATCACCAGCAACGCTGTTAACGATCAGGCATTTTGGAGGTCATTAATTCATGGGGTTGCCGTAAGTCAGAAGTGACCTGACAGCACTTTAGCACACACATGATGGTTACTACACAGGAAGCCCATCGTGGCTTTGGAGCTTCCTATCTGTCTCTCTGAGGAGGCCCCTGTATTTCTGTCATTCTACAAACTCTGTAGAACAGAATTAGTCAGGAAGGCATTTTTATAAAGGTAACAGGGCTACAGTATAATGGAATAGTTCAGGAAGGCAGCTTTATAAAGGGAACAGGACTGTAGTCTATGCTGCTACTATGCACGGTATGTATTATCTGTTTGTTGCATGTATTATGCTGCTCTTTATAATGGGGACAGAACAGAGGTGACTTGGACAGCCTGTCTTCTGTTTACACCACAGGCTGCTGGTGGAGTTAAGTATCTGCACCACGGGGATGGTGCATTGGGCTATGGCCCACGCAGTGCCTGCTCCCAGCCTTCCTGTTCCCTTCTCATTTGCCAGGGGTCCTTGGAGGCATGGCTCCAGCCAGGTGCTAGCAGAGAAGGCTCTGGGTGGCCAGGCTCTGGGTTGGCCACAGGGTCTTCTCCCAGCGTCTTCTCTCCCACTGCTTCCCAGTTTGGGCGACATTTTTTGTTAAAAATCCTCGCAATCCACTCCCCAGGAGGTGTGCTTGTGTTGTACAAGGGAAGGGGCCTGTTGAATACAGGCAGTGGGTGAGTGGCTGCCTGCATTTCCCCACCTCTACAGTGACAGGCTGTCCTGCTTTAAGAGACAGATCTCTGAATCACAGTCTTAAATGCATAACTGGTTGGGGCAGCCTATGTCCAGAGTGACCTCCTTCAGCATCCAGGCATAGATACACGGCAGTGGTGGGCCACCTGTGGACGCTTGTGAATGTGCTGTAAGCTCTGTGCAAAGCCGGAGAGAGACCTGAGAATGCCGGAAGTTACTGGTGGGGCAAAAAGCAACACAAGGCTGAGATACAAGGCTAATACAAAGTACCCTGGAAAGCCAGGAAGCCAGAAATGCACGGCCACCACAGCCATACAGAACCACGTCGAGTGGAATACAAGTGGAGACAGGGGGCCTTTTGCTTCCTCTGTGGGCAAGGCACTGCTCCTCTCTCCACTGTGCTCAACTCTTTTTTTCTGAAGGACAAATGACATCTTCAGTCATTCGCTGACTGGAAACAAAGTTCCTCTCTCATTCATTCTGCGCAACTCCTTTGGTTCTTGTGTCAGTCTCAGGAATTCCCCGTTTCCCTCTTAACAGGATATCTTATTGTATTTTATGGTACACTTCTTATTGTGCCACAATAAACTGGAGCTTGTTCTTTCCTTAACTGGCTCAGCAAAGCCCAATGAGCCAGTTAGAAACCTGACTAATGCCAGGTGCCAAGACACACCTAATAGTGTCTTTATTTTCCTGACCCTTTCCAGAAAAAAATGTTAATACCAGAAAGTAAAGTTGACTACCTTGGATCTCTGCACACTGGATGTCCCCGAGTCACTTTTTGCCTCCTAAAATAATGGAAAGAAGGTGGGGAGAAGAGGAATGAAAGCTGCAATGTAAACTGTAAAGCCTATGCAATGTTTTGCCTTAATTAATAATGGTGAGCAGACAGAAATGGGGGACTAGGCAGGATTGCAATACTTTTATTATTGCTGCTTGATGTTCTAACCTTTTATATTTAGCTTTGATTTCTGACTTCCTCCCTGGATCAACGAGGTAACAGTCTTTGGCCTCAGAACGGCTACAAGTTCTCAGAACACTTCTGAAGGCAGAATTCTTTTAAAACTCAAGACACATCTACAGAAAGTGAATCACGCTTAACTTTACATAAATTCCACAAAAGATGCTAGAATTTGCAGGATTTTTGAGGGCACTGTGTGACATCCACAGCTCCTTCGCATGAATTTCTCCTTCACATGGACTTCTTGGCTGAGACGAGGCATGTGTGAACTCAGCTAGAGATTTTCTTTTTAAATACTGCCACTTTCTCCCCTGACCCTCTCCCCAGATACAGCAGCAACACATTCAATTTGCAATCCTGATTTCAATACATACATGAGTGGAGGCTGTACTGGCTGGGCCCTTGGCTTGGAACATGGCTTTATATTTTTCCTGACACAGGTTTCTAGATTCACTCTGTGAAGCCAGTCCTTCTGTGTTGGTATGGATCAAGTTGGGTCTCTCAGTACCTGAAAAAAGCAGAACACAGTCTTTCACAGGGCAGATGATAACCCGAGATCTCGATATCCCTTCAGGACCGGGGGTCATCTAAGTATTTTTGCCCTCTCTGCTCTGCCCCAATTCCATCCCGCTTGATCAGCTCCAAGCTTCCCTTTTTGTGCCTTGTGCCATTAGAACCCTAACCCTACCTCCTCGTTGTCAAGACACTTCCCTTTTCTCCTTCCAGTCCTTCTTTCAAATGCTACTGAAGCATCCCCCCTTGCTTGACCTTGCCTTCACTGCCATTTGTCCAGCTCTTACCCTTTTGCTATGCTCTAGTCCAGGGGTGGTCAAACTTGCTTAACGTAAGAGCCACATAGAATAAATGTCAGATGTTTGAGAACCGCAAAACATGAACAAATGTTACACACACATTTTTACTGGAAAATATGGAAATTTGCTTTTTATTAACATTAAGACTGCCAAAAATAAAAACAAATGGTAAAAATAGATATTGATAATGATATTTATTTGTCCAGTGATATTTATTTGTTTGCTAATTGTATTTATTTGTCTGAGAGAGAAAGAGAGAGAGATGTAGAAAGAAAGCAACTTTAAATGTGTTCTCCAAGACCCCACGCCCGGATGCCAGCCAGCTCGGCTTGGAGAAGGGATTTAAAGAGACAGATGCCTTCTCCAAGCTGGCTGGTGGTGGGGGGCCTTTGAGAATGCATTTAAAGTTAAAGTTGCTTTCTTTCTCTGCTCCCCACCACCACCTCAAGCCTATCCAGGGAGGGGAACACTGGCTGGTGAAGGGAAGACCGATTGGGGAGACATGCCTCCCCTCCACTTCCCCAGCCACCCTGCCGGGAGTCGCACCATATGTGTGAAAGAGCCACAAGTGGCTCCCAAGCCACAGTTTGGCCACCCCTGCTCTAGTCCATACCTGACACTGTTGTACACGCAAGACCTTCAGAAGAGGCAGGCGTGCCAGGACTCTTCTTTCTGCCACTTGGGCCACTTGCTGTGTACAGCACTGCCATCTGTTCTCCAAAGATGTTCAAGCTGCTTGAGAAATGGCTCTGACTCATTTCCGCTCGCTATGTGGTTGGCTTATTTCCTGCTCTCTTTACTGAACTGTGAAGCTCAATCTTTGCAACCTCTTGCAATCCGATGACTAAACCAGGGTCAACAGCATGGCAGGGCATACAGTACTGCCACTATAACCAAAGCCTTTTGAAACAGTTACTTTGCACTGGGCAGTATAGAAAACTCAGACAGTGCAGTCATGGCCTTTAAGGAGACTGATCAACATTCAATCAATCAAACATTTCTTACAATCAGTAGATTCGTCGACAAAAAAGCACAGTTTTTACATATAAATATAAAATTAATACACAGAGATTAAAATGCCTAACCTTGTGCTGTAATTAATTATACATCAAGGTTATTTAGAATATCTACATTCTTATGGAAAGTCTCTCAGCACAGAATTTGGTCACTTTAGAGGTGGTGTCGTTGGAGCAAGGAGGGGGGGGATGTATAGAATTTTTCAGATCTTCCTGGGCACTTGGATAGAATGGGGTAAGATAAGTGGAATGGATGTCCTTATAAAATGGACCACATAATAACACGTGTTCCAGTGTTTCGACTGCATTCAATTGGCAGGAACATAAATGTTGAGAGTAGGGAATATGTGAGCATCTCCCTTCCAATAGCACTGAGGAGGGTAGTCAGTTAAAACAGGTTAGGGTGAAAGCTCTGTGGGGTATCTGGGGAATTCTGAAGCTTAAAGACAGTTCGTCGCCACAAAGTTCTGGCCGTGATTCCCTACCACTGGGATCAACATTCAAAATGCAGGATACAAACTTTCAAGTTATATAGAACGGTTCTGCTAACTGGATGTTCAGAGAAAAAGATGAAATGAAAAGCAGCCATTCCTAAGAACAGACACTGTACTGAACCATGGGCCCAGAAGCCACATGTTCATTATGATTCCTCCTATTTTGCCAGGTCTTCAGGCCCCTGGGGCCTTCATAGGCCCTCTGGGCAACTTCTTTTGCAAGACTCTTTAATAGGGACCATATGCTTTCTCAACAGAAGGGAACTCCAATATGGGCTGTTTTATTTTCAGTCCCTTTCCTAATAATCCCCAGCATGCAGTAGTGCTTTCCAGGATTGCCGTACACACAGTTGACATTTTCATCGAGCTTTCCACTACAATCACAAGATGTTTTTCAATCTCAGTCCCAGCTGGTTCAGAACCCATCAGCATACATCAGGAATTTTTGGGCCAATGTGCATCACCTTACACTTACCGACACTGAACTTCATTTGCCCAATTAATATAGATTCTCCTATAGCTCTTCACAAATCACTTTGGGGTTTTTTTTAAGTATAAATTTGTTTTATTAAACATATACCACAAACATACAAACAAACACAAACAAAAAAGGGAGCATCCCTTCATACTTTGAGTAAAGGATTGGTTGTCCATACATCTCAAATCATAACACTTATTTCTACGTCGTATGATACTGTCCAAACTTTGCACAATATTTAATATAATGTTCTTATTAACCTCTTTTTGGGTTATATTTCAATACTCCAGTTCTTCAAACCAGTGATAAAATCTTGACCATATTTCTTCAAATTTGTCCTCTCTATGTCCTTTCAAGATTAAAGTTAATTTGTCCATTTCAGCCACTTTCAGTAATTTATTTATTAGTTCTTCTTTTGTTGGTATCTCCTCTCTTCGCCAATAATTCGCATACAGTATTCTAGTGGCCGTAACTATGTGTAGAATGAGATAAGAGTCCTGTTTTTTACATTTTTCTGGAAGCATATTCAGTAAAAAGAGTCCTGGTACAAACGGTACATTATATTTTAGTATTTTTTGCAATATTTCATGTATCCAGATCCAATTTTTTTTACTTTTATCACAAGTCCACCATATATGAAAAAAGTACCAACATTTTTTTGGCATTTCCAACATACATTTGACAGATTGGAATAAAAATTAGATAAATTATCTGGTGTCATATACCATCTATAAAACATTTTATAAATATTTTCTTTATATGATACTGCTTTAGTAATTTTTATATTTGTTTTCCATATCATGTACCATTGATCTAGATCAATATTATGTCCCAGATTTTGTGCCCATTTAATCATAGAACCTTTTACCACTTCATCCTGTGTTTTGGTTTCTAACGCTATTGTATACAATTTCTTTATCAATTTATCATCCGCATACAACAATATTTTATCTATTTCATTTATCTTTTTGTAAAACCCTTCTTGTTTGTCTTTATTTAGATTCTAATTTTACTATTTCCCACCAATTCAAGTCTATATCCTGTTTTTTAAGGTTTTAGTAAATTTTTACTATCTAACAGGTCTTCATATCTATGAAGTAAACTTGTTTTAAAAAGGTTTGAATTCATAAAAGCATCAAGTGGTGAGACCCATTTTGGTATCTTTGGTTTTCACTATTTTGAATAACTTGGCGTCATTTGCAAACTTGGCCAAAGTATGGCTTTCCCCCTATTCTGATAATTTATGAACATTTGAGCTTGTGGACTCAGGGCATTGCTGGGATCCAGGAGGTTGATCAAGCTGTCTTCTCGGGGCATACATGTTGGGTTTACTTTTCTCAAAAAGGGACAGGGCAAAGGCCAGGTTTACAAGTTGATAATGCATTTTCTAGCCGTTTCATTGGTTCAGAGACAGTGTGATACCTCCCAAACTATGTCATGCCCCACCACTGAAGAGGTGTAATTCTCAGAGCCAGTTTGGTGTCGTGGTGAAGTGCACGGACTCTAATCTGGGAGAACCGGGTTTGATTCCCCACTCCTCCACTTGCACCTGCTGATGTGACCTTGGGTCAGTCACAAGCTCTGGCACAGCTGTCCTTGAAAAAGAGCCGTTTGTGTCAGAGTTCTCTCGGCCCCGCCTACCTCACAGGGTGTCTGTTGTGGGGAGGGGGAGGGAAAGGAGTTTGTAAGCCGCTCTGAGACTCCAAGGGAAGGGCGGGGTATAAATCCAATCTCTTCTCTTCTTCTTGGTAGAAGGTTAAAGGGGCATAATATTGAGGCAGTCTTAAATCCCACCACCTCCGACCAATGTTCCCTCTAAGCTGTGGAGTCTTCTGAGCTAAAATTCTACTTTGGGAGCTACTGGCAATAAAGTTGTGAGGGAGCGATTTGGCTGCTGCAGAAATGAGTTTGCTCTGGAGCCCTTTTTCCTGAGCTAAGACAAAAATGTGTGAGCCGGAGGCTAAAAAACTGTGAGCTAGCTCACACTAACTCAGCTTAGAGGGAACACTGCCTCCGACTACAGAAATTATCTTTGGAAAGTTAAATAAATTTGAGCCAATAATATATCTTTGTCTTTCTCTGAACGATGAGACTGTCCTCTCAGGGCATTCACGTTGGTTTACTTTGTCATAAAAGAACAAGACTCTACACTCGTAAAGGGTGGTTTTCACTTACTACACAGTAACCACACACATCTACTTCCCTGGTATTGCAAGATAACTTCTAAGTTGGAGGGAGTGACTTGCCGGAGTCTCCTGTTTTTGCAGTTAATCAATTATTTAATTGCTATTTCACCCAGCCATCCGCAGCTTTTCCAGAGCAGCTTTGAATTCCACCCCATAGCCTTATTCCCCACAACATCTCTAACTAAATCAACACAAATCCTAGGACGATCACTTCCTGCACCACAGAGTATTTTCTAATTCCATGTGTGCCTGCTTGTGGCAACTAGTGCACATGTACATTGGGAGACAATGACTGGCACTCAAAGCTTAACTACCTTTTACATTTAGCAGAGTTAATTTCCATATTACTTTATATTTTATTCTGATCAACAGCCCAACTCTTCAAAGGCACATGATTGTTGTCTACACGCAGGGCATTTCCTATCTAGTGGAAGTGCTTCTATTAATACAGCTATTCAACGTGACATCACCAAGCACCATCCAAACAGCTTCAGGGATGACCAGTACCTATCCCCCCCCCCCATACTCAGGTGCCCTCATTGTAAAACACCTGGCTACATAACTGTTCAGACGACTCTCAGGCTAGGTTGTTCATCCAGCTGAAGATGTACCTGTAACTCAGAGAAAGGGAGGAAGTTGCTGCCTGATGCTGGCAGCCAGAGAAACATAAAAATCCCCCTCTGGGCCCAAGAAGTCCAGGTAACAGGTTGTCCCACCCCTCTCTGGTCTGTGTTTTTCCATGGGGTCAACTTAGCATGGGGAAAGAGGGCAAATTGCATTTGTCAAGCCAGTTCTTTCCATTACAGCACAGCAAGTGGGTTTACATGAGAAAAGCCCAGTTCCATCTGACTTTTCAATGGGTTTAAGAAAAATTCCGGTTTGGACCAGGATTTCTTGTCTATGTTTTGGTGTTGTGGTTAAGTGGTGTTGTGGTTAAGGCTCTAATCTGGGACAACCGGGTTGGATTCCCCCACTCCTCCTCCACTTGCACCTGGCTGGATGACCTTGGGCAAGCCGTAGTTCTGATAAGAGCTGTCCTTGGAAAAAGAGCAGTTTCTGCCAAGAGCTCTCTCAGCCCCACCTATCTCGCAGGGGGTGTCTGTAGTGGGGAGGGGAAGGGAAAGGAGTTTTGTAAGCCGCTCTGAGACACCTTTGGGTGGTGAAGGGCCATGGGGTATAAACCCAATCTCCTCTTCTTCTGCTATATTTCCAGTCCATGACTCAGTGGGCCATAACAGGGTATAATTCTGCTTATGATGGCACTATATCAGCAGAAACAATATCATTCTGCAATGCAATCCGCCCAAAGGGACTCCATGTTGATGCGCAGCCTATGTGAGAGAAATGGGTCTGGTCATTCTAGACCAAAGAGGCTTCATTTCCGTTTGTTCTTCATGCCAAGCGAGGTCACCTGGGCTGCCTAAGCCCCCCTGAGCAGGATGTGGGGTGGGGGG